ATAGACTCTGTGTTTTGAAAAATATCTATTGATTTTCTTACTGTCTGTAATCCTCTCTCAATTACCCAGGCTGTGTTTTCACTTTGAAACAGCTCATTTAAATAAAATCTGAAAACCAAGCACATTATAATTATCTAGTTAGAACTTCTTTGAAATTCAGCATTTAATTAAAAATGCTTCCGTTTTGTTGCAGTTGGTGGGCCAATTCATTGCTAGAGCTGTTGGAGATGGGATCCTAAGCAGTACCTACATAGATGGCTACAAAGGCACTGTGGATTGTGTCCAAGCTCGGTAATTTCCTTGCTTTCTGTATAGAGACAGGTTTCTATTCCAAATCTCAAAGATGAGGATCAGGAATTTACAGCTTCAGAATAAATCATGCAGTTCTTTAACTTCCTTTATTTTTTATTTTTTTTTTAAATTTGAAATGGAGAAAAAACAAAAACCACAAAATCTGCAGCAAAACCAACAACATCCAAAATGACTCAAGTCAGAGGAGAAATACTGAAAAATGTAAATACATTTGAGTTCAGTTTGTCAGGTTTGTTGTCCAGCTTATGTTTGAGAGTGAAAAATGAGCTGAAAGAAGTGCTTATAGAAGGGTTTGTCTCAGAAAAAGCTTTAATGTGATTAATGGGTAAATATAGCATCAGGACAGCTGCTGTAAATATGTTGTGAAATACACAAGGGATTAACTGTTTTGCCTTACAAAGGTTTGAAGCTTGTGCAGTGATTTCCGAGACTTTCTCTGTAATGCTCTATTTGTCAAGAAGTACAATTGTTTTCCATGTCAGTGTGAGAAGTCTGAAGGAGCAATCTCTGACAAAGAGGGATGTTTTAATAATGAGTCATGTTTTATTTTTCTTACCCCCGTAAGTGTATGTTTCAAGCTTGATATGGAGGTGCTGAACTCCTGTTTCTTCCAGAAGTTGCATTTGCAATGATTATAGTTGTGCACTTTCAGAAGGAAGAGCAGTTCTTAGCTGCCTACTTTGGGGGCTCAAATTGAGAAAATTGTCTGTCACTTATCTGTGTCCTGTGATGTGAAGGATTGTAGCTTGCATTCTGCACATCTGGAATGCTTTGCTGCCTTTGTTATCTCTTGGCCAGTCTTTCCTGCTCATTAAATCTTGGTGAATAGAGTTATTGTTACTGGCTTGCCCCCAGCATGAGGACTGGGAGAACTGTTCCTCCTTTACATGGATGGTACACACTGTATCCCAGACTTCTTTATTTTTTTCATCTTACTTCCCTTTTTATTATTTTTTTCAATAAACTGGCAGGCATCCCTATCTTGTGCTATTTTTCCAACTACTTATTTACCTTCTGAAGTGTTTTCTTTGGTTTAAATTCTAAAGGTTTCATAATTCTTCAGACCCAAACGGAAAACGGTATTTCAGTAAAAAACTGTTCTTGAGTGTGGCAACAACTCAGGCCTTTTTTGTTTGAGATCCACCTGCCAAGCTGCATTCTTGGAGGAGTCTGCATACAATCTGTTTCTCCATAAGAAAGTATTCAGCTGGTATTTTGAGGATGTTTCAGGTTCTGCATTGGTGATTTAATCTACTGCCATCACAGGATTGTTACCTGTTCTTGGTATGAGCAGGAGTGTAAGGGTGACAGAAAGATAACATGGGGAGCTTATTTGCTGGTTTTTTGATCCGGATGATCCCTGTGGAGTTGATAACCTGATCTCTTCCCAAAGATCTGGTAGCTTTGTCTGAGGAGAAGTGGCCATGGGGGAAGTTGCAGATGCATTTAATGAAGTTCTGTAATCAGGTTTTAAGTACTGACTTTGCCTTTAGAGCTGCACTGGACCGAGCGACGGTGCTGCTGAGCATGAGCAAGGGAGGGAAGCGCATCGACAGCGTCTGGGGGGCAGGAGGGGGCCAGCAGTCTGTGAAACACCTGGTCAAAGAGGTAATGACACAACTCCCCAGTCTCCAGTTGGCTCTTGGTCTAAGCTTACTTTGGGGTAGAGGGAAGAGAGACATGTATCCCGAACTAAAATTATGTCTTATGAGTGTTGGTTTTGTTTTGTTGTTTGGACTTCCTTTTTTTAATATTTTTTAAAATTTTTATAATTTTTTAAAATATTTTTTTGTAATTTATTTAGATGAAGTAGTAGAACCGATGTAGATAATTTAATTGATTTTGTAGTATTTGTCACTGGTGGGAGAATGCTAGTACAACATTCTGTATTGCAAGTATATGTTTCTTTTTGCTTTAAGCAAAACTTGTAAGTATTCAGCTTTTTAAGACATCACAATATAAAGTGGTGAAGTAATTAAAAGCCAAGATGAAACTGGCTAAACTAGATGAACTATTATTTTTTTGGCATTGTTGATCAAAAGCACAGTAATAACTGAAAAAAGAGAGAGGAAAAAACAGGAATGTTTAGAGATCCATGCTATAAAGTAAGCAGGTCTAAAGGAAAAGCTCATGTTATAATTTCTAGGTTGGTAGTGTAGCAGATGATAGGAGAAGGTATTCAAGGGAGAGGATAAACTTAATTACACACATATGCACCTTTTATGGTGATGCACGTCTTATAAGACAATGGTTTTGGTGCTTCTGTATCAATACTGTAGATAGGTATTTGGCTTGCACTGTGTTTCGGGTTACTGATAACATCTCCATTTAATTAATTCCTGAGTTTAAATACATTTATAAAAGCATTGGCAGCAAGTTTGAGAAACTAACTTGGTGCTGGGTTGATAGTGTATCATCAAAACAGTTGACAGCTTTTAAATTTTGTATCTAATTAGTACTGGGTTTTTGTTTTAAAATTCAATAGATTGATATGTTGCTGAAAGAGTATTTGCTTTCTGGAGATGTATTGGAAGCAGAACGCTGCCTTCAAGAACTGGAAGTACCCCATTTTCACCATGAACTTGTATATGAAGTAAGGAGAAACCAGAGTCCCTTTAATAATTGTTGGTATTTTGATGTGGGCATGCAAATTATATAACTGGCATCGGAAGCTTAGGTTACTTGTTCTGTTACTTGAGTAACTAAATTGTTTCATGTAAAGTTAATGGTTTGTGTGCTCATTTGTGTGTGCACTGTGCAACAAGTCAGCTGCTGCTGACTCTGGGAAGATCCAGAAGTAATTTTTGTGGGTTAAATAGTTGAATTTAGATTTTTTTAAAGTTCCTGAAAATAAGATCTCAGTTTATTTTCTGCTGAGGAATAGCAACAAAAAAACCCTCCCATGCATGTTTTTGTGTTTATTTCTTTCTAGTTTCAGGTATCTGGGTATTCTAATGGGTGTTACCTGTTTTTGTTAAGTTATAGAGCTTCATTTTTCAGGGTAGGATTGTTTCACCCAGCACATTTATAAAAGCTTACATATTTCAGACCCAGTCTATATGGGAGACTGTTCTCATTTGTAGTCTTTTATCTGCCAAATTGAGAAATGGTTGTTTACCAATAAAGCTGAACACCTACAATCTACAAAATTTCCTTTTCAGTAAATTGACTTGTTATAGAAAATTCCTTCACAATAGAACTACAAAATTATTTCAGTTGATGGGTGTTGTGCAGTATTGTAGATTTTAAATTTCTGAGTCCTTCTAAAATCACAGATAAGAAACTCCCATGGATACAAAATTAAAACCCCAGGATACAAAATTAATTTCATGAAATTAATTAATTGCCATCTGTACTGCAGCAGCCATATGGATATAGCCATGTAGTGCTGAAACCAGAGACAGAAAGGCAATGCTTTTCACTCTGTCTAGTCTTTCTGGTTTTTCATACCTTTTATCTTATCCAAAGAACTCTTCAACAGTTTTTCTTTTTTAATAATAATAATATTATTATTATTAATAATAATAATAATAATATTAAACTGAAATTGTGAGTGCATGTAGCAAATGGGTTTTCCCCAGAAAATTCATAACAAAGCGTTCACTCCTTTCTGTACCTCATGTGGTTACACACCTTGTACCTGAGCCAGTGTTTTAATTTTAGTCACACACTTGTATGATTTGTTTTAGGCCATTGTACTGGTTTTGGAGTCAACTGGAGAAAAGACCTTTAAAATGATACTGGATTTATTGAAAACTCTGTGGAAGTCATCTGTCATTACTGTGGACCAAATGAAAAGAGTAAGTATGGCATTTAGAGGACTTTGCATAAGGTCTTCTGAAATTTCCAGCTGCCTTTATGCAGGTAAATTGTTAAAACTAATTATCTAAAATGCTGCAATGTTGCTTCATCTTTTGTCTTTTTATCTGGTAGTTCTTTGTAACTGAAGTAGTACAATAAAGGCCTACTAATTATAATGTCAAGTAGAGCAGTATAGAAACCAGTATTTTGCACAGCTGGAATCATCTGACTTTACTTCTCAGGATGAGAATAGGACAGCAATTCTGTCCCAGGGCTGACTGGGGACCACACCAACACTTAAATAAAAATTGACCCAGCTGTGTTGCTGGTGGGAAGTGATGAAGTCATCTCTGGTTGTCTCCAGACTCTCCCCTGCTGCATAAACTTCTGTTGGTCATTTGTGGCCACGTTTTGTTCACTTACATGGAAGACTTATTGATTTTTCTTCCCATATTACTACCCATGTAGTGACAGGCAGGCTAACATACAGATTTCATACTGTCTGTATTTCTGACATCTGAAGAAGTTTAAAGTTCAGGTTGTGTTTTTATGTAGATATATATTTGTATAATGCCGTGGTATGGGCTGATATTATTTCTCTTCTGTCAAATAGCTGCAATACTTTAGGTTTGTGAAACCATATAAAAAAATCCTCTGGAATGCAAAAGGATATTTGAAAATACTGTAATAAAATCATAGAATAACCTGATGATTATTTGAATCCTTACACTGCAGGGCTATGAACGGGTTTACTGTGAAATCCCAGACATTAACCTGGATGTGCCACACTCCTATTCTGTGCTCGAGCGCTTTGTAGAGGAATGCTTCCAGGCTGGCATCATCTCCAAACCACTGAGAGACCTCTGCCCTTCAAGGTACTTGTTTCATTGTAGATAGGCAAAGGCACTACTCTTCATTCCTGTCAGTGGTTACAGAAAACAGCATCTTGGGACCAAAGTGGTACTGACTGGAAGTAGAAACTGGAGGATGGACAAACAGTTGGACTGGTAAAACGTGTATTAAGAATCTGCACTGATGTGAAACCTTGAGGCTGGGATAAATACTTGGGGAAAGGCAGCCTCCTGTGAATCCCAAGCAGCACCCCTCAGTGCTCCCGATTTGCTTGGTAGAAATCAGTGCAGCACCAATCTGGAAGATCCAGGTGTCACAATGGTCCATGTAGGTAACAGTGGAAAACTGACAGCTATACTGGGGAAATGGAAAAAAAAAAATCCTTTAAAAGTGGTTTAAACATATCAAACAGCCTGCATAGAGCTCTAAGATGAGACAGCCAGTCCTAATATTTATATAAAAAGGAACAGGACACTAATATGGGATAAACACTGCACACCCCATTCCTCATATCTGTCCTGTGATTCATATAATGCTTTTTGGTTTGTTATGGCTTGGTTACTCATAGCATAAATAATGCTGTGTGAACTGTACCTAATCAGTATGCTGTTACCTCCTTACTGGTCACAAAACAGTTAATAAGTTTCATTTCCTCTGGGGAATATATGTAAATTTTTAAATAGGATGATAAAACTATTACTCAGTTTTATGCATTTGGAATACTATTTATTTGACCGGTCTTTTCTATTTTGGATATTTTGCTAGAGTTCTTAAACCATCTCAACAGCTTGTGATAAATTTGGATCTTGGGATGTTAGCATCTTTATCAAGACCAACCTCCATTTGTGGACTTTACACCTAAAACTGTGTGTGTTGGTATCAAATGTTGTGTAGGTTTGGGTGTGTGGGAGGGTTGAGAGTCATCACTGCATCAGAAGCTTGATTATACTTTGGTTACCAGTTACGTGCTGAGACGCATTTTTGGTTTGTGTACTTTAAGTAGAAACCCACCATTCCTAGGTTTCCAAACTAGCATTTTTAAGCAGCTGAGGTGACAATGTGATCACTGCTAACCCAGCTGAACTGGCACTTTATATTTGACTTCCAATACCAGAAAGAAGATTCTTCTCAGCAAGAAAAAACAAGCACTGCTACTCTTAAATTACTGAAAAGATACTTTCTACTTTCTTACAGGGGCAGGAAGCGTTTTGTGAGTGAAGGAGATGGAGGTCGTCTGAAGCTAGAAAGCTACTGAATGTGAGAACTGCCTCCTGAAGCCTTACAAGCTGAAAGGGAACATAGCTCGCTATCGATATATACAACACGCATGCTCCTCTGGTGTGTGTATGTATATATGTATACACATCTAGGACATACCAAATTTAGGAGTTGCTTAGCACAGTTCGTATTTTTTTAAGAGCACATGTTTTGGGTACAAATTGTTTTCTTTTTTTTTTAATAGTTTTGTAAATTTCAGGAAGAAGTGTTCTTTCTTTGGGCATATAGTAGAACAACTGGCCACTATGCTGTGGTGGTGCCTTGAAATAAGCTATCTTTGTATGTGCCATGTTTATGACCTAATCATTCCACGTGTGCATTGATGTCTGACTGCTGCTTGCTCTTTCCAGGACAGTGCTGTCATCATAAAATCAATGGTTTATACAAAGCTTTATTATAGAAGGGTCAAGTTAAGCTGCTGTGATCCCATTTCCATTGCTGCTAAAGAAATACTGTGCTTTGGGAGTTTAAAAAAAAATAGCAGTTTCTTTGTTTTAAAGAGCCCAAGAAAACACAGTTGGGTCACGAGACAAATTCATCTGTTTCAGGGGAGAGAGAACACTGGTTGGTTTCAGCCCCCATGTACCAAACTTGTCTTTTTTTCTATGTAACTGGAAAAGTGAAAAGTTCTGGTAAAACATATTAAAAATATTTTTTGTGAAGCTCTTGTTTCTGCCTCCTTTTTATTTATTTTAAGCAGAATAAATTAAGCAGTACATCTAACGCCACCCTTTGGTATTGCAATTGGGAGGAGAGCACAGGATAATTAAGCTCATGGTAAGTAAGTGTTTAGCAGATCTGTTTTGGAAAACACAACTGCCTTGCGTAGGAGCGTCCAGGCTGGCACAGATACTGGGAATGTGTCTTTGTAGCAGAGCTTCTCCAAGCCCTTGCTTAAGAACAAGACCGGGTCTAAGGAAGACTCGCTTACAGAAGCACGGTAGAGCCTCTCCTTTGTTTTTCAGTTTCATGTCAAGATCTCTGAAATGTTGGGAATAGCCTTCCAGGGCCGGGAACACGCTGTGCTCTGGAATCCAAGTGCTGCACTGCTCGAGCGGGTCTGGTGAGCCCGGCTTGGAGCAGGCGATTGTGGAACTCGCCTCCCCTTTCCGAGGCGTTCTGGTACCTCTAAAGACGCGTTTAGAACATGGCCTGGGTAGCGACCAGCGCAACTCCTACACCAACAGCGCCCGACGCGCGGCCTCCCCGCCCAGCCCGGTACCACCGCCTGCGTTCAGGCCACACTTTAATCCCGTTACACAGCGGTACCTCCGATCGCGGGTGCGGCCGGGCACGACCCTCCCGCGCTACTGCCGGGGCGGCGCGGTCCCCGCGGACGGCGGTGGGGCCGACTCGGGCGGCTGAGCCGCCTCCAGCGCCGCCTTCTGCAGCTTCTCCAGCTTCTCCAGCGACACCGACTTGAGGGGCAGGATCTTGGGCTTGCACAGCACCATGGCGGGCGTGTCCTCCATCGACAGCTGCCCTGCAAAGGGAGAAAAGGGCCGTGAGCGAGCTGCGGGCTGGGCGGGCAGGGCCGGGCGGTGCTCGCCGCCGGTACCTTGCTTGGGCAGCACCTCCCGGAGCGCTCCCGTCCCCTCCGGCATGGCGGCTCCGACACGGCACCGCCGCCGGGGATAACTACAGCTCCCAGCTTGCACTGCGCGGCGCCACGCCCACGCACCCCGGTTGTGCCCCAGTGCATGCTGGGAGTGGTAGGCCTAATGGGGCTCCGGCTGCCCCAATGCCCATTGGGAACTGTAGTCCTTGGCGTGGCGCTGCGCCGGGGCAGCGGCGGGAGCTGCTCCCCCGGGGCTCTCCCGGTCCCGGGATTCCGGGATGCCGCTCCCCGCCTCAGCTGCGCCGCGCTCTGCTCTGGGGTGGAGCCGCCCCACCTGCGCGGGCCTGCCCGGCCCCGGCGAGCCGCTGCCTGCACGCCCGCCGGGGCCCGCCGCGGAACTCGGGCTTTGAGGCGCTTTTATGGTTTATTTTCTGCTTCTGTAAATAAAATCCCCAACAGACACCGTCCAGCAGACGGGCGTGGCCAGGGCGTACGCGTCCCGGTTTTCGTTTCTAGGCAGCGCCTCGGGATTCACGATGTGAATCATGCTGCTGTTTGACATGTAAACAGCAGTAAAAGCCGCTCTCTTTCTAAACACTGGGAGTTTAAAAGTCGGCGAACCTGATGGGCCAGTGCACCGCGATCCCCCGCAGGGGTCCGCCTTTTGGAGGATCTTTGCCACCGGGAGCAGCTTCCTGGGAAACCCCCGCGGGGAGCTGCGTGTGACCCGGGATGGGCTGAGAGGGATTCACCTGTCCTGTGCCTTGGCCATGCCCCAGCAAGCCCCGATGCCGGGATGTGTCGTAATTTTAGAGTTTGCTAATGAGCTTGCCTGTACGCCCTGCGCACCCTGTGTGCCTGGGGATTGGCAGTTCAGGCTGGTAATCCTGCTAACCTGGCCTTGGCAGGCGGGGATGGCTCCTTTCAGTGTTCTGGGATTGAGATCTGGCTTCTTGCTGTGCACAGGGAATGGCCGTGGATGAGTAAAATGAGGGAGAAAATTATCTTTGCTAACTCTTTTCCATTCTGCCTTGGTGGTGCTTGTCTGCATGCTTCCCTCTGCTAGCTCAGGTGGATCCAACGTTTGCTGGGAAAGTAGTGCTAAAACTTTAAACTTCCAGTAAGCAGCACCTCTCTGATAGTTATTTAAAGCCTCTGTCTGCATTGTTCCAGAACCATTTCCTTTTTCCTCTAAGCAACCTAGAGTGGGAAGCTGACAATCCCTCAGGTAGCCTGGTTCCACCTCGCTGGAAGCCACGCCTGATGCTGGGTTGGAGGCCAGCAGAGCCCACAGAGGGTGAGAGAAGGGCTCCTCCTTCCTGCCTTTTGTGGAGCTGGCCAAAGATAACACTCCTGGGCTGGTCTGGGCAGCACAGACCTTTTTGTCTTTACTCACATATTCCACTTTCAGGTCAGAAGATTGGCATTGATGAGGCTGTAAAATAGATGTGCTTGCTGGAGACATCCTTCTTTACCCTTTGAAGTGCTCAGAAGCATTCCCACTGATTTCAGTGGAAAAGCTCCTTTGTCTGATGTGCTTTTCTGTGTGCCAATCAGTATTTTGCGCTGACTGGAAGGGAAGGGGCAAGGCACTGCTTTAAGATGAATGTTTTTAGACTTGACCATTTTAAACAGTACATGCAATTTTCAGATCAGTAATTTGTAGTTGTTTGTCAGTTTGTTTTTAAGAACAGATCCAGCATCTTAGATATGGCTATGGCTAAAAATGAAAATAAAAATACCCAGTTATGACTGAAAATTTTGCACTGTGAAAGCAAGAGTTATTCCTGCAGTAGCAAATATGGCCTGCCGAGCAACAGAAATGAGCTGAAAGCAAGATGTTGAAATCAAATTGTAGGCCAGGTTTTTTGCCAGTGTCCTTCACAGTGCCAGTGGCGACCTGGAGTCCAGCATTATGTGAACACTTGCATTTGGAGCCCATCTCAGTCATGCAGGGAATCACTTTCCAAAAGCAGTTTTCCTGCCAACAGGGTTTGTTTGCTTGGTGATAAGAAACAATGGTCAACTCAGTTTGTTACTTGAGCATTTTAGTGACTGAGGAGTCTGGCATCCTGTACTAGATCCATTTTCCTAGCTACTCAAATGCCAGCTTGGCAGCCTATCTAGGAAGCTGATAGCACTGGGACAGGCGTGATTGTGGAGGTTGTTTTCAACAGTTTCTAGTAAGTCTGTTTTTAAGACACCTCTTTCCTTTTTTTCCTTTCCTGGGGAAAAAAATCATAGTTACCACCTTCTTGATTGGGAGGTCTGGATGAGAGAGAGGAGGGAAGCATGGGCATGCAGCTTAATATCCTACTTTTCAAAGTGCCTTGAAAAACAGGACTGGGTTTAGTTTTGAGTAAGGCTGGTATTTATTCACTAGAATGGTGTTGGCTATAGTTAAGAGGAGGGAAACGCATTTCATACAGAACCTAATTCCCCTTGTTGTGTTGGCAGAGAAACAACAAGAAAAAAAGTGAATTTTCCAGTTACAGATGAGGCATCCAATCTCTTCTGCTAAAGAAAGCATAGTTATACTCCATTCTTTGACCTTTTTGGCCTCTGGGGTTGACATGTGCTCAAGCACCCATTCATTTCCCTCACAGGCCTTTCGAGTTGCCAGGAATAGCTGGGAAGCTGTTTGCCAAAACCCTTCCATCTGGGAAAAGCACCGTGCATTTGCAGTAGGACTGTGCTGAGTCAGTGCATTATCTTGGTGCCATTCCACGGGGCTGAAGAAGTCAGAACAAGACTGTCCTTGTGCCCAGGTCTCAAGTTGTGTCCCCATGGCATGAAGCTTCCCAGAGTCCTGAGGCTCGATGTTGGGATGAAACCCAGTGTTACTTGAGAAACCTTAAATGTGGTATCCATGGAGAGGACAACGCTCTCTAGGTTGCACATCCTTATTTTACTGATGTCACAAACAAGTTATTCTTGTGCACTGCAGAGAGCCACAAAACCAGCAATAATTTTATAAATGATAATTTTGTTTTCCTTCTCCTGTTCCCAGATACTCCGAGTGCAGCAGACAGCCGAGATGTGCATTGTTGGAATCCAGAGGGTTTTGTAATTTGGCAAGCGCTTGCTGAAAGCCCTGCAGATACAAAACAACACTTATTTCAAGTCTTGAGAAACATCTCCTATTAAGTAGAAGAAAAAAGCATTTAGGTGAAGCAATGTTGCCAGTCCCATTTGTTTGTGAGGCTTGGTTTTTGTCTTTATACATTTTAAATGCTTTTTATTTTCCTTCTGCTCTTTAAGCCTTTCAAGTTCATGTTTTCCATATGACAAGAAAGTCTGGAATCGAGTCCTCACTTTAAAAAGCAAAAATTTGGTTCAGAGTCCTGTGTAATCATGTAGCTCCAGACATGGGGTGTTTAAAAATAAAGCCACTTTGGTGAGAACTACCCATCTTGAAGGTGACTTTCTGTTCTGAGTTTAAGCAAATACTTTGTTGACAGTTTAGGAGGCTTTTAACAGCACCTGATCTCTGTTTGCTTTCCACTTGGATCTCTCTTTTCTTTTTTTCTAAAATTCTAGAGCTTGTTTATGTGCTGGTGAGATCAGAAATGTAGTGTGGCAGCATTTGGTGAACGATGCATCCCAGTGCTTTCAGAAATACACCTGCTGATTTCATGCAATTGTCCCTGAAGCTGCTTGAGTGGTACCATGGGACACGGAGCCCAGCTTCAGAGACAGGAGGAGGAGGGTGGTTTGAGTTTACTGGGTGGGGTAAGGCAAGGAACAGAAAGCCTGGCGTGGCTCCCTGCGGGAATCCCAAATGCCTACAGAGCCTGTAGCTTGGTAGCTTGGTGTTTAACCCAGTCCTTGTTTTTCAAAGGGAGCTGACAGACAAATGATTTTTTTTTCAGTTGAGCTTTCTGAATACACTTATTTTAAGTTTGTTGTTTGATGCAGTGGGATCCTCAAGCTGTATGCAAAAGGCAAGGAGATGTGCCTGGAAATGCATTATCCAAGGGACACAGAAACAGCTTTTTGACAGGCTGCTCTTCCTGCTAACACCTGGTAAATGCAGAGACCTGGCTCCATGTAAGTCCCATTCTGGGCTGCTAAGCCAAATGCTCTACACTGGCATTTCTAGGAGGTTACTGCTCTACTTGTGTGGTTTGAATCACTTAAGTCTTTGGCCTGATGCCCTGGAGTGCCAGCAGAGGCTTGCTGTAATTGCCCGTAAGTGCACCGTCTGTCAGATTATTGTTTAATTATTCCAGCTTCTCACCGCCACACACTGCTCAGTGTCTCTCTTGCTATCTTTATTTAATTGAGTGGAAGAAATTCGAGACTTGTGCTTCTCTTACATCACTTTGTTTTTACCCATCCTTGCCGCATCCTACCATGAAGTCCCACCTTTTGTTTGCAGAAGTCAGTCTTCTTTATAGAAAAAAACCTATTGTCAATATCTCAAGCATATGTTAGAAAGAGAATCAATATTTTAACACATGGTAAAGTCAAACCATAAATCTCTCAACACAGTCAAATGATTGTATTATTCTCCCTTGAAACACCGCTCCTCCCCCTGAGAAACAAGAGAGGGAAAGAAAACTCTTGGATAACCAAGCCCTTGTCCTCACAATCCGGGACTGTTCTTAGCCCTTTGCTCTGTGTTGCTCCTTCCTCTTCAAGATCCGTCTTTCCCTAGCCCATCCCTGTTCCTCTGTTCCACAGTATTACTTGGATATCAGCTCTTTTCCTGAGATCAGCTGGTTATCAGTAGTTCCACTGCCTACCTGCTGCCATTTCAAACATCTCTGTGCTCCCTCCTATCCTTGCAACCAGGCTCTTAATAATGTGTGTTGAAAAATAATCTTTCTGAGCTCTCTCCAACATTCTCCTTGTCTATGTGACCTCTAAAAAACCTGGCAGCACTCTGACTGCTTTTCTTCTCTCATGCTCCCTGTGCCTGTGACAAATATGTGTCATTTTTCTGGTGGTACACTTGGCTTTCAGATTCTGAAGCAGAACACTCTTCTTGTACAGCCCCCCTCAAAGATCAAGGCTCCAGTGCACTACCATGATAATAATAAACATTAGGGTTGCTGGCACTCACTCTCTGGGCAGACAGAGTTT